CAAATATAATGGAATGATGGAAGTAATTAACACTTAACCCTTAACGTAAAAACCTTGGGGCAAAAACGTACGTTGATGTGCCAGGTAAATAGGACATTAATGTTCCTATTGGAGGGAATGGCTTTGAATATCATCATCTGCTAATTGCGTTGCAAATTAGGAAACGTTTGGCTTGGACAATGAGATGAAGAAAATACATACCCTCCTTTAGACATGAATTAAATTGTTGACGTCTCTGTTTCATTCTGTACCTTCGTCTATGCAATGAATCTGCCTTTCTTGTCAATTTTCTCAAAACACATAGTAGTACATCTCACGTGAGATTTAATTATGATAAAGGTACTCGGGATTTAGACAAGAACTTTGTCATTTTATTGTTGGTATGACCAATCGAACATAGATACATCTTCTACCGAAATTTAGTTATCTGAATTATAATATATTCACGATTTAAATACAAAAGGTTTTGAAATTATATAAAAACATTTTTCATAAACAACAGCTCCTTTTCATCTTAAAATTTGAATTTAAAATTTTCAAATTAAAGCTTAAACTATTTAGGCGGCTCTTTAAAAGCAAAAGTACAATGGGAATGAAAAATGTTTTCATTGTTTGATTGCTTGAACTAAAAACACGACATGTATCTGAATACATTATAGGAATCAATATATTCATAATTTAAATATGAATTATTAAATATAAAAGATTTCAAAATTAGATAAAAATATTATTAATAAAAAATATCTCCTTTCGTATTTTAACATTGGACTTATTGGTTGGTGTATGATCCCTTATATAAAAGGTAAGATTCAAATCTCCCTTTTCCCAAGTATAAAAAAAATGAGATTTTTAAATTAAAATATCAAAGTTTAACCTATTTATATAAAAAAAAAACCCATCTCCTTTTCATCTTAAAATTTGAATATGAGATTTTCAAATAAAAATATCAAAGTTTAACCTATTTAAGACGCTATTTAAAAGCAAAAATACTGCCAGAATAAAAAATGTTTTAATTTTTTAATTGCTTGAACTAAAACCACAACATGCTTATGAATACATGGGCAAACCTACATTGAAAGGAGTGATGTCACATGACACCATTCATTCATTGAAGTGTCAAAAATTTTTATTTGATATATTACTTAAGCTAGAGTTTTATGTAATTAATGATACTAATTAACCTACTAATTGCTTTTTGTAATTTTGTAAGGAGTGAGTCAAAAACTTCAACTCAAAGTGAATTTATTAAAAAGTAATTTATATATTAATATTTAGATACTACATGAAAAGATAATTTTTTTTTGTAATTTATGATTTTATTAAAAAAAGTCAAAACCTAACTTACTCTTCCTCTCCAAAAAATTACCTTATATAATTTAATTTGTTTCTTATTATTATTATTTTGGCTATAATACAACTCAAAAAAATTTCTGAATCTGTCCTTATCTGAATACATAATTAGTTCATTTTTATCATTAGAACAAGATTTCATTGACGTTGTTTAATTTTTTTAATAAAATAAAATGTAAACAATTGGTAGTTGTATTCCTATTTTTCTATCTTTATTTTTAATTAAATAGTCATATCTTATTTTCTCTCAGTGTTAGAAATCCTTCTATATTGCAGCAAAATTTTTAGTTATTTGATCATACACATATGAAGCGTATGCCACGAGATTTTTTAGTCATATCAAAGTCAAGTATTTAAACTAAGAGGTATGCCAATGAAGTGATAAAAGTTTCTGCATATTTGCAATATATATATAAAACAAGGCAAGTTATTTAAGATTCAAGTTTCAAATCAAAATAAATATAAGTGCAATGTTTAATCTTAAACAACTCCTGCAAGGTATTCTAAATCAAGTCGTAACTCATTCACAATTTGACAAGATAAGGTTTCGAAAAAGTTTTAAATTTTAGACTTGAGTCGTAATATATTTTATTGTAAGAAAAACTAAAAAAAATAAAAATAAAGCGTGAATGATATCTTTTGTATTGTTGATAACAAATTATATCAAACAAAAATTCTAAAAGTTCCAATTCATTTTTCCAATTTAATAACAGATTAAAATCTATCTAAACAATGAAGCAGCAGATGACATTTGACTTAAATACAAGTCAGATTAATTAATAGATAGCATATATCTTTTTTATCTTAAGTAACGTTTTTTTTTTTCTGAAATAAATGTTGACCAATTCTCATCGGCATCTTAATAGGGAGCAGGACATTTTAATCCCCTCATAATTAAAAAAGAAGATAGCAGGACGAAAAGTGCAAGTGCCTGCGGTGTCCATGTGCAAGCAGTGGGTGGGTCAATCTTAGTTAAATTAATTAAGCCAATATATACAAGTTCAAGCTTTTTTCTTTTCATTTATTTATTTCCCGTCTGTGATATATAATGGATAATGATCCTAAGGCCATAAGCTCAGGAAGTCAGTGACCACAGCCAAATTTGCAAATATTCTTGGTTTTGACATGTCGTTACCTTCACATGACATTGCTACCTGATGGATTCAGCTTGCTCAACTGCTAAACATGATGAAATGAAGTTCAGATAATAGATATTTAACTATGACACCTTAACTTGTACAAGCTAGTTTATTCGTTCATATTAATTGATTTTTATATAAATATTACGTGTAAAATAAAGTCTATTAATTATATATGGTTTGATGTTTTTCAATTTTTTTATGTTAATTAATTTTCTATTGTAAATTATTGAAGATTTAGGTGCAAACTCTTTTGGTGAAATTCTTAAAGTTCTTAATTATAAACGATTATATATATAATTTCAAAAATATTAACAAGATTTACTATTTTATTCAAATGAGTGATTCAACCATAAATTACAGTACAATTTACCATTGGTTAAATTTTGTATAGATATTATTTTCAATTACTTCTTTTACATGTTGTTGACTTAGTCTTGCTTGTAAACTAAAATGAATGAGTTTCACCTTAAAGATGCTATATATCTAGATCAAAGGATTAATTATAACTCTAATTAAGGGTGTTATGGAATTAAGTCTAGCCGACACAATGAGTCATCTTTTTTGGTACCAGATACCAATAATCATTAGAAACTTGGCTTGATTTGAAAGGCAAGAATATTTATAAATAGTTTCTGAGGTTAAGTTCATGAGATTCTTATTAAAAGTGATTAAATCAAAATTAAAATTGAAATCCAAATTGAGGATCGAAAGATCATTATTACGTAGATTAAGTGTACAAAATTTGAAAATTTTTGAATAAGTTTTCATACTTTTTAATAAAGGTAGTTATAGTAAAATTAAATTATGATATTGTTTGACATTTTTAATAAAATTGATTTTTTTTACATATTACCAATTTATCGGGTTTAATTTTCAAAATTAATTTTATTTGATCATTTTGAATTGAGAGCTCCACAAAATTGAGTTAAAAAAAATTATATAAGTTCAATCCTAGTTCAAAACTTAATTTCATGAATTTTGATTTGAACTTGATCAATTTACTAAGAGAATTAATTATCAAGCTTGATATTCAGTCGATGAGATTTGTATTCTATTATTTGTCATTATTGTTTTTTTTTTAATATATGACTATGGTTTATAATGGGGATCTTCTCCTTTCCTATTATCCTACTTCATTCATTTAAAGATATTTGAACACATAAACTTTCAAATTGAAATTTTAAATAAAAACGTTCATCGTTATAGTTAAATTGTAAAAACATATAGAATTAATCGCTTAGGATAAAATGTTTTCTATCCAACACCTTAATAATCAGAACAATTTAAGCTTTTCAATTTAGAAAATTTCTATTCCAATTTTGAGAAAGGAGTACATATATATATATTATTCATGGAGAGTTAAATGCTCATTTTAGGATCTAATTTTTACCAAAAATTTTCATTTGAAGTTTCAATCTATTATTATTTTTAATTAAGATGCAATCTGTTCAATTTTATTTATTTAAAAAAATGATGATAAAATTTAATAAATTAATATTAACAAAATTAAATAATTCAATTTTATATTTATTAAAAATTACCTTCATGAAGCAACGGTTAATTGCCTTAATTGTATTGGCTAATTATTGTAATTTTATTTTATTTTTGAAATTGATGAAATCTAAAAAATTGGATCGTAACTTGAACAATATAGTAGATTGAATCTGAAGATAAAGAATTTAACAAACGTTTTAATTCTAAAATGAACATTAATCTTCATGAAAGAAGAAAATGTTGCTCTTCATTGTCTATTTTTTATTTAATGAGAATATTTTATACAAAAAAGTCTTGTACATTCTAATGTATTAATTAAAAACATTTAGAATGAACCACTGGGTCAAGCTTATGAAGTAGAGTGAAGTATTACTAGTAGTCTAGAGATGAGGTTGAATATTGTTTTGTTTAAAACTCCTTGACAATCAAATGCATGTGATTATATGAATCAGAAATGAGCCAAATTCAAAGAAACTCTGAACTTGGTTCTTTTCTTTTTTTGGTAAGGAATATTTTCTAAATCAAACCTTTTTTCAATTTATTAAAGAAACAAGTAAATGAATATTCATCTCTTTCTTTTCTGAACCCCCTAGGATTAGTGCTAGAGGGTGTCTAGATCCTAGACTAGATAGAAGGATTCCATTTCATTTGGCCTTACCTCTGAAAAAGTAAATTCACCGACAGTAACAATCTGTGGAAAAGCCTGTTTGCTTTTACTCCACTGTTAATTAAATATATACTAGTAGTTCTACAAGGCACAAGGGCATCACCCTCTCCTCTCTCTCTATAAATAGGTATTGTAGGCTGAGCATTTGGTTCCACGAAAATCTCAATTGTTGAAGGACCTTTGTCTTTTATTTTTTATTTTT